ACAGCTCTGTTTCTTTTTGCGAAAAAAAGAAAGGGGAAAGGAACGAAAACAAAAACAGAGAACGATCGGAATTAATCCGGCACGAGATATTCGTCGCCCCGAGAAAGGGGGAGACGTATAGAGAACCACCGCGGGGCGTAATGCGCGATTAAATACGCTCGTATAAATACGCGGGGGGTTGCGCAAAGTGCAGTAGTGAGCCTCGGCGTGTTCGCAGACGCGACTGCGACAGCTATTGAACTATTACACGCTTAACTGGAACGGACTGACTGCAGTGGCGTGCCTGCCTTGCTGCTCTCGGTGCGTGCGGCCTCACGACCTCAAGCGGGTAATCCCCCATACGAATCCGAGAACAGCAGCGCGTACAACTCTGTTCGGCCCGTCAATGCTCGCGCTTTGTGAGCGCCCCGCTCACAGCTCGGCCTGATTTCCCGCTCTGCCCCGCGATCGTGCGAATTACCGGCCTCGGAGTCTCTCTGCATAATTATCCCGCACGATGATTCTTCACTCATCCGAAGCCAGGTGCAGCAGACTCGCGATGACGTTCAAGTGACGAGGAAATGATCGGTCGAAATATGAGGTTTTACACACACAAGAAATATATGGTTCAAATAAATATCACTTGCTTAGCACTCTAATCAAGAATATTAAATTGAAGCAAAAATTCGACTTGCTTACCACGCAGAGTCGAGTGAACTTTTTCTTCGGTAAAGTTTCACGATATTCTTGTGGAGAGGACACATTTTTCTTTAGAACACATGACAATGAGCTTTTCTGAAATTTGTGGTATTTAACGAGCACATATTTTAAGGTTATTGTCAAGAATATATTTTTTGTTGAGGATAACCGTTGCTTGAAAGAAGGAGAATAAGTGGAATTTATTCGTCTTTCTTAACAGTAGAACGAGAACTTTCTGTGTGTGTGTACATAGTCATTTCCTCGACATCTTGACGTCATCATGACTTCTCGTTCTACCCGGACATGTGCGCGGCAGACCCTTTGAAAATGTCCACCTTTCGAAATTAGTACCTTCTCGTCGTGTACGCACCGCGAGAGCTTCGAGACGCGCTGCATGAATCAAGCAATCACGATTATCTGGAGGACAGTAGAGACGTTAGCACTTGGTGTGCATGTCGCGACGTAATCGCAGCGTGCTCGACAATAGCGGCGACAATTAAGAGATATCCCTGTAAACTAAGTATAGAGCGAGGCTAATTAATAGCTAGATTAGAGCCGATTAAGATAATTTCCGCGACGACGTTTAAGCGGTGGAAATAAATTTGCCAGACGCGCGTAGTCGTTTAGGAGCGCACAGATCTCTCTCTACCTTCCACCCATCCTCCTCGTCTTTCTCTTTCGGCGACGTAACGAGCGCGGCGTTTATCATTAATTAAGCGCTTCTTATGTTCCTTGGTCGCGACTGCAAGCTCGGCGACACGAGGAGGGGGAGGGAGAGAGAGAGGTTTTCTTCTTCTCAGGAAAAGAGTCTCTCTCTCTCTCTCTTGCAGAGGCCTAGAACGAAGTTACGCCACTGTCGATGTTCCAAACGCAGAGACGACCGGGGGATGCGAGTGTCGCCCGGCGCGCGCGCGGGGGTTGGTTATTTCACGGTCCACTCGTTCTACTCACACCGCTCAGAGGCGGCGGCGGCGGCCCCTTTCCCAAATCCACCCCTAAGAATTAATTCGAGAGAATCGTCCGGCGACCGACCGACAGCCACTCCTACCTTTTCGAGCGCCCTCGGATCATCTTCCCTCCCCAACGGATCCTCCCGTCTCCTCTCTCTTCCTCTCTATCTGTCTATCTGTCTTTCTCTTCTTTCGTCGCTCTCCTTTCCGTATTCCCGTTCGCGTCGATTTAACTTTCTCCCGACTCTTGCTTCGACGTTCGCTCGACGGCGCAGTCGAGATAAGTGCGGAAGAAAGGACGCATGGATCTAGAAGCTCTCGTAAATTGCCGCTCCTTTTTCACTGGATGTGCCATTACATCGAGATGTATCGTACTTATGCCCGTCGCGGTAACCACATCAGTACCGCGGATGAACACTAACACAACATAATTCTGCTGTTGCAACTGAATTTCTCGTGGTCATAAGGAACTAGATTGGAAAAACTTGCTGATACACTGAGAAAAAATATTAGAGCATTTACTTAAGGGATATGAAGTTTATTCGCAGAAGTAAACTTCATTTCACAGAAGTAAATTTTATATCCCACAAACAAATTTCAAGTATTTCTCTTTTCAGTGTAGAAGCAGAAAGATTCTTCTGCAGGAGATCTCTATTCAGCCAATTGTTCTCAGTTATTCTCAAACAAGTATAAATACAGATACTGAATGTTCAATCAAATATTTTCAGTTGCACTAGCAGAATATCATTTGTTATCGTCGAATTTTCACCGAGTTTCTGTTCAGTTGCACAAACTAAGATTTTCTCCCGTATAGAACTATCAAAACGCGCGGTCAAAATGACGAAGATTATAATTTCTTATAAAAATCACTTAAAACTGGTGCATTTTATATTTTCAGCTGACGTTAAACAAAACTGAAAAGAATAAGTGACCTTTTTCTGAGTGATTTTTTAGGCGGCTTTTACAGTCCTTGAACTAGAATTTTTTTGCATGTGTCAAATGGTGAATTGATAAGAAAACATGAGACCTCTGACGCGTCACTATAATGACTCTCCGGATTGGAAAGGTTAAAGATCGACACTTACCTTTCTTCGAGACGGGAAGTCATTTTTTCTCGGAGAAGACCAGTCTCCTTCTCTTCTCTCTAATAGCGAGAGACTCGGGACGATTGACGAGACATACCTACAATGCCAGCTGCACACTCGACGAGTCGTTTTGTGCCGGTCGAGGTAACGGAGAGAGAAGGACACTCTTACCTTCAATTCATAATTAAGACACGCATAAGCGCGCGGTCAGGTCGCCGACGACGCGTGTCGTCGCGTCGGGTAGCTTCTAATTTGAGCATCAAAGCAAGGCGCGAGCAATTTTCCGTCAATTGAACGTGGCGGCCTTTGGAAGTCGCGAACAAGGCAGCACTATGCGCGTGGAATTACGCGTGGAAGACATCGCCGGTTTTGCAGCGAAGGCTGTGTCTCAAAGCGGCTAACGCACAGAGACGAGCTACCATCCGGCCCTCTAATGGCTCAGTTCACTTAGCGCTTCTCACTCTCTCTCTCTTTCTCTCTCTCTTCTTGTGGCAGAGTCGTCACTGTACGACCAACTACCCTTATTTCTTCTTACGCCAAAAAACACCAGTCGCTTTTCTCGTGTAGAGATCAGGCGAGTCGCGTTATTGAGGAGGTCGGACGAAATCCAAGGCTTCGCTCGTTAAGGGTTGATAAAGAAAGCGCCTAATCGGCACGCTTTCGGGGATTGGACAGAGCGAAGGTAGGTCGATAGGTAGAAAAGCAATTACGGTCTCGAGATTCCGAGATACGGAGCAATTGGCTTTCAGCGTCGCCTTGATTGAACTTATGGCTCTTTCTCCGTAAGGAGAAACGTAGCGTAGCGCATTAAGGAGCTGTATCAGGTTGGATCGATTTTGGTTCGATGCATCGGCGATGTATCGGCCATCATGATAGTAGGAATTAAAACTGAAAGAGGAACGCGCAATCGTAGCAGTTTTAATATCTGAGTGGTACTCGCGGATGTTTGCGAATCACTTGTAACAATTGCAGGCGAGATATTATTTATGATTTGTGATTCTGATCGATCTTAAGGGGATGCTCAAGTTAATGGTTCAGAAATGTCAATAACGTAGAGACAATCGTCATCAATCGCGCTATTCTTTTCGCATTTCTTACAGAATTTACGTAAATGTGTGTTACTTTGTTTTATCATATTCACATGAAAACTTAATCACGCACGCACATGTGTAGAAATCTTTCTGTAAACTTTTCGAATATTCTTAAACTTCTGAATTCGAAGCAATGTTCCTCAAAATTTTTCTGTTTGCAGCATCCACACTTTCATTATGTACAAGCTGCAGAACTTTTGGATTAGGCAAATATTACGTTAATTGACAGCTTGAGATTTTACATTTTTGTTTCATTTTTGTCACATATTGAGCAATACTTCTATCTATTTTTGCACGTACTTTTATTGCGCAAAAGCAACTGTAATTCTATTGGTAAAGTTTTCAGCTTCAGCATTCTCTTTACGTTAGCAAAGCTCGCGCACGAGATGCGAGAAGTGCAAATTGAAACAAATCAAATTCATCAAAACCTCTTTAACCTCTTCAGGGATGAATTTATGAAAATCTGAAAAAATTATTTAATTTCGAGGTGACATAAATATATCATGTATCAATCATATGACGAGTTTTCTCTTTTTCTTGATGTCGAACTTTGTGATGAATATTCATTTAGAGCAATGTTCGTTGTACTTTTGTCGACGATGTTCTTGAATGAAAAAGGAAAAAATCGAGAGAACATATCTGAACGTAAACGCTGAGAGAAAAAATATCTGAGAAAAATAAAAGATATTTATTCGTTGGTACCAATAGCATATTTACTTATACTAAAGAGTAAAATATTTTTCAAACAAGAAAACATACATTTTTTGAAAAGCTCAGATTTTCACGAAAACAACTGTTTACTTAAATACAAGAGTTTATACTTAAGTAAATATGTTATTAGCATCCGAATAAATACATATTTTTTATTTTTTGGATATTTTTTTCTCGGTGTATACATTGTGAATTTAGCAGGTGTTTGGTATACCTGAAAGGGTTAATCAAATCTCGCATTTCTTTTCGCTTATTGTCGATTGTTGGTAAGCGAGATAAGAGAAATTCGCGTGAATTATCCTTCTGAGCAAACGCGAACAATATCGCGCGGTCTCTTGACGCGACGCAAAGTCGATCTTTATTTTTCGGGTACGCAGAGGGGATCGTTTGTATATCTGTACACATTGGATGAAAGTTTTTTACGAGCGTAACGTATGACTTTTATTTTACACAGGAACGCGATCGTCGCGCCCCGACATGCCTCGTTTCCTCCCGCTTCTTCCTTCCTTTCTTTTTCTTTCGCACGATCAGCACGAAACATTGCTCGCTAATTTTGTCCCAATCGTGTCTCACTCGCACTCTCGCACGCATTCTCGCAAATACACACACATACATACATACACGCGCGCGCACGCACACACGTTAGCACACATACACACACGCACGCACGCACGCGTACACGACCACCTTATACCGCTATAAGAGCGTTTCCGATAAAATCTACTTCCCTTTAGAGACGAGTTTCTGCCTCGTCGCTTTAACCGCGGCGACGAACGGAATATGTTACAAAGGTGAGAAAACGACAAGGACTCGGGTGACTTCATGACTCCGCTTCACTTGGAGAAAAGTACCGCGGGGTATCTCTCCTGCTATTTAAGTAGGAGATGTGACTCGCCGGACGAGTTGTTACTTATGACCGATAGCATTGTTCGATCTGCTCGGTCTTTACGTCCGCAAGGCTCGCAAAAACGAGGAGCGAGGAATGCAAATTGGAGAATCTGAACTGCGATCGGAACTTGTTCGATCAGTTTTCGTCATTTTTGTGCTTCTTGTCGTGTCACCTATCGGGAGACGAGTGCGCTCGTGAGGGAGCTGCTCCTTCCGTCCACCGTTGCCCGGGGCCCGGTGCTCGGAATTTAAATGTTTGGCCGGTGTCGCGCGCCGAAATGATACGCTGCTTTTTTGCACGTCACCCTACGTAAACCGATTACGCTATCGAGTCGCCCCACGTGCCCAACGGGAAGGCAAAATATAACATTACGACGGCCTACGCGTTCATGATCCAACGAACGAAAACATTACCCGATTTGATTCGAGGTACTTAATGAAGCTTTAACATTTCCCTGCCTCTTTCTCTCTCGAGCTATCTATACACTCCGAGCAGAAATTGCTCCGTGACGACGCCAAAGTATCGTATACACACAGAAAAAAGTCATTCCACTGCTAAGAAAAACAATCATTGTTCTCTTTCTTTTAGTTAACGATTATCTCAAAGGATACTTTCTTGATAATAATTTTAAAATATGCTCCACATATCACAGATTTGAGGAAAGTTCATTATCGTGTACTCAGAAGAAGAATCTATATTCTCCTTGCCAGAATATTATAAGATTTTATCGAAGAAAACGTTCAGTTCTGTGTAGCGAGCAAATAAAATTTTTGTTTCAATTGAATATTCTTGATTGAAATAAAAACTTACTATGATTCAGAATGCATCTTAAGACCGTTTGAATTCATTGTGAATAGTTAGATTTTTAATAGATTTAATATGCTATGACGTATTTTGATAGATTCGCCGATATATTGTGGGCTTAAGTAACACTTGAAACAAATAAAACATTTGAATGCAATGTGCATTTTTCTGTGTATATCATCCGCATCTTGAAAACAACATAAGCTTAAGGATTGAAATTAGGTAAAATTGCGTTCCTCTTTTTACATGTCTGGAAGTGAAGTTTCACTCGAAAAGTAGAGTGATTGTCGAGTCATTCGAATTTTTCGTTCACGTGGGATGAATTCTATATTCTGAAACGTCGAGTGAATAGGCGAAACACTCCAGGATTACTAAAATCTTCCTTAGTTATTGGTGTTCTAGAAAAACCAGTTTTTCTTTACGAGCATTACTATAGCTAACTTCTTGACTGCAGTCTATGATTCCAAAAGAGATCTCCATAACTGAACAGATGCCGCTAGTCTCGCAAGGAAAACTGAGATTTTCTAAAATGTTCATAACTAAGGGAGTTGCCCAACAATCTGGCGTTTACTTTACAAACGTTATTGCCCGCGTCCAGCGGAGGAAGCTGCTTGATGAGCGCTCAACAATCATTGTTCCTGTTCAATACATTTTCTTTTGGATCTATCAAGGATCTAGAGAATAGTCCAGACAATGATCCCTAAGCGCTCACTGAGCGCTGCTTTCTCTGCTGGACACCAGCCATTGTCGAGCAGATTCTCTCAATTCTCACGCAGAATTACTGGTTCGCGCATAAAACTGCTTATGTTGTTTTCAAAACCGCCGATCTGTTGCGCGCGAACTTCTTGTCACCGACTCGCCGGGAAAAACAGTTACAAGTGCCAGGCGGAGAAACAAGCATCGAGAAGCCAGACGGCTCTCACCCGAGCGACGAAAGTCCACGATCGACGAACACGCGCACCCGTAGCTCTCCTGTTACTTTCCTTCCCCCGATACTTTTCTTCCCACGGCCGGGAGTGCTCGCACGAGCTCACCGTTTCCTTGCCGAAGACTACGAAGGCGAAGACGCTGGCGACGCTGCAGACGGCGCTGGGGCATCATCGCCGAGTTCGCTACGCGTGCGGGTGCGTGTGCGGATGTAGGTGCGACGAGAGACCGGCCAGACCGGTGGAGGAAGGCGTCGAGGTCGGTGGCGGGCCTGCCGACGCGGTCGCGGGGCTCGCTGACAGATGGTGGCCGAAGAAGGTCGGTCCGGTCGGCGGGTAAGGTGGGGCCGCCGGATGGTAGTACCCGGGCGGCGGCGGCGGCGGTACCGGCGGCGGGTGGTGCACGTGGGCGTGCGGGTGCGGGTGTGTGTGAGAGTGCGGCAACGGGTGCTGGTGAGGGTGCGCGGCGAAGAGGAAGGCAGGCGCGTACGGCGACGGATGCGGCGGCGTGGTCGGCACCGTCGGGCTGTTCACGTCCAGCCCCGGGTTCTGCTTCTTCCACTTGGTGCGTCGGTTCTGGAACCAGATCTTTACCTGCGTCTCGGTGAGCCGCAGCTCGATCGCCAGGTTGAGCCGCTCGCACACCGACAGGTATCTGGTGGTCTTGAACTTGTTCTCCAGACTGACCAGTTGCTCGTACGTGAACGCGGTGCGCGCCCTCCTGGGCTTGCCGCCGCCGTTACTGCCGCCGCCGCCGCCGCCGCCGCCACCGCCACCGCCACCACCGCCACCCCCGTTGCCGCCGCTCGTGCCGTTCTGCCCGTTTTGACTTTGACCTTGACAGTTTGAGACTTGGACGCCACTAGACGACGTGGAGGACGTCGAAGATTGCCGTTTCTTGCAGTTGCTCGTGGCGGAGTTGGGGCCGCCGCCACCGCCGCCGTTCGCGTTCTCCCGACCGACACCGCCCGAGTCCTGATCCACCACCCGCATCTCGATTTCTTCGTCTTCCTCCTCCTCCTCGGGATCTTCCTCCATCTCTTCCATGACGGTGTCCGGTGTACCTTCCTCATCCTCTTGGCCGCTGCCGCAGGCGAACTCACCCCGCGAGTCACCGTCTGGAAAATAATAACCACGGGATCAGTTTTGTGTTTCGCGCGACGCTAGGCGACCGCGGGGACGGCTCGAGGGAGAGTGAACGAGAGAGAAAGAGAGAGAGATAGAGATACGGATATACCGGGGTCGGTGTCGGATGACGAGGATTGATTATACGAGGGACAAAATTGCAGCGTGGGTGTCGCGGTTCCCATCGCGCCGCGTGATTTTCACGGGTTCGGCCACTCCTGCTGCTGAATTCATTTCGCGCTACCCAAGTAGAAAGAGCGATCTCTTTTTAGTTAGTAACTGGCCACTTCCTGGCGACGCTTGTCTCATCAGCAACTGAATGATAAAACTAGTCAGTTTCTGGCCACTTTTTAATCACTTTCTTACCACTTTCTTACCAAACCTTTCCATGTGACAAAATTCTATCAAATAGCTTCCATCGTTCGATTCTATATTGTGAGATATTCCTTATTTAGTATTATATTAAAAATAACGTGAAACTCGTGTTTCAGAAAATAGAATCTCTTCATACGTGCAAATTTATTTATCATTGAGATGGTTATAGCTTTATTTTTAATTACCATGTAAATAACAGGCCAAGAAACATGAGAGGGAGGGAGCAGTACTTTTTCGAGTTTTTATTAGACAGAAAAAATATCCTGCAATTACTTGGCATTTTTATTATCTGACCTAATAAATAACTAATAGCTTTTGTCTAGTTTCTGAACAGTTACAGTCTAATAAGTATATTCAATAAACATTAGTCAGGTTCTGGCTAGTGAGCAGTTTGGAAATTTTTCTACTTGAGTGCTGTCTCTTTTAGTCCATCGCATTGATCTCGAGGAAAGTCGTCGGAATAGATTTGATAGACTCGTCAAGCCGGCAACTTCTTACTGGGGAAGATCCGCGTACGGAGAGACATCGATACAATTAGCACCGTTGATTACCTCTCGACTACGGCGGCGCCAATTGCACGGGCAGTTAATGATCAATTCAAGACTGGCGCGCGCTCGATGACCGCAAATCGTGCGCTTAACTCGATATTCGCCTGACCGAGAGACGACGGAGGATGCGACGAGTTATCGCTCGCGTTTCGCGAAAGAGTCCAGCTGCGGTAACGGCCGATCAGGCGACCGGAGTCACCGATCGAGCCTGCGAACGATCCGGGCGCGAATCAGAGAGGAGCAGAGGGAGAGAGACGGCGGGAAAACGGAGGAAGAGAGAAAGAACGGCCAATCGTTCGCTCAATGAGAGAGGAGATTGGAGATTCAATCAGCACGCAGATGTCCCGGGGACAGATATTCCCTGGCTCCGGCCCGTGGGGGTTGGGGTGCCCCTGGGATGCCACGGGTGGGGGTAGCCTGCCGAATGAAACCATAGAGGGAGAGAGCGAGCGGGAGAAAAAGAGAAAAGCGTTGAGGAAGAGGGAGACACACGGAGGGAAAAAGAGAGAGAAAGAGAGGAGAGACGAAAAGCGACGAGGACGGTATGTCGGCGTTGAAGCTTGCCAGAGAGTGCAAGAGAGACGGACAGATGAAGGGAGCGAGAGACAGAGCGAGAGACAGAGAGAGAAAAAGAGGGAGAGAGAGAGAGAGTAAGTAAGGTGGAGAGAGACGCAGAGAAAGAGAAGGAGACAGCGGGACTTTATCCGAATTGGCGTGGCTCGTGGCCCATAGCCTGCAGCCTAGCACAGTGCCTGGGGGTTGGAAGTCCGTAGGGGGCGACGGATCGAGAAGGTTTACGCCGTAATGGGATTTGTATCTCGTTAACGCGCGATCGTTCTTGCCCCGTCGTACAGGCCGCCAAGCGGCTACCTTTCCCATCTCTCTGTCTGCCTCCCCCGCGCGTTCTCTTTGGCCTTCTTTCGCCGGCTATACACCGCCGCCACCGTTCGTTCGTTCGTTTTCCGTATAACGCGATCCCCCACATCTACCTGGCCTGGCCGGTGCCGATTGATTGCGTCTAATTGAATTGCGTAATTTATATTGTTTCTCCTTCTTCCCGCTTCGTCGCCGGTCGTCCGCGTTCTATAGACAATTGCGTCCTGCACCGGCCACCCCCAGGTACAACGAACCCCACGTGACCCGACGATGTCGGGTCTGTTGTATTAGAGTAGCGGTTTTTCCGATCTATTTCGCTTTTAATATCGGTGCGTTCTACATTCGGAAGTTTAATTCATTGCTTGATTTTTCTTTTCTTTCTTTTCTTTGCCTCGAATTTTTTTTCAAAGATATGTTGTTATGTCATAGTTGTCTCTTGTTCGTGATGCCGATTGATTACTTTAATCTCGAGATGAATCGTTGCTTATTTTGACAATTATCTCGAGAGGCTGTCATCACGGGGGAATTACACACTGGAAAAAAAATACTTGAAAATTTATTCGTGGAATACAAAGTTTATTTATAGAAATAAATTTTATTTCACAGAAATAAACCTTATTTCGCTGAAATAGACTTTATATCTCGCAAATAAATTTTCAATTAAATTTTCTCAATGTATATTTGAACGTCAAGGAATTTGAGTGTCAAGGAAAAATGAAATAAGATAAAATATAAAGTCGAAATTTGTGTGTGTGTATGTGTGTATGAGTGTATACGCGTATACGATATAGAGAATATTAAATAAACGAATAAGTAAAACAAAACTATCAATGCCTGGACACATGCCTAATTCTGGACATTGTTATTGGTTTAGTCTTTAAATATAAATTTTTGAACTTTTCACATAGAACATACATTGAGAGAAAAAATATCCAAGAAATAGTAAATATATTTTTCGTGTGTATTTACTTGTGTGTGTGTGTGTGTGTACATAACATTTTATATAAAACAAACCGATATAAAATATTACGTTGAAAAGCATACTTATACTAATATAAAATATTGTTCAAATAAGAAAATATACATTTTCTTAAAACCTTAAGAAAATTTTAAAAGCAATTGTTCCATTTAAATAAAAGAATGCTACTAATATCCAGCCAAATATATATTTACTAATTTTTAGATACCTTTTCCTTCAGTGTATGTATTCTTATTGTGTTTAATTTGTATTGAAAGACCATGATAATAAGAATGCCCAAAGTTGTACACCTTTTCTTGTTGACAACCGCATGTTGTCGAGTCGCGTTCCGCCGGTGGGAAGTCACGTGGTCTCGGTACCTAACGAGCGAACATAAGCGATCACAACAGTCCTTCACGCGAGGTTAAACAGATCGGGAGACGTCGCGCGTGATTCCCGACGTCGGTTGAAATTTACCTGTGACGTGTTATATTATTTTTGCATTGTATTATTTTATTATTATAATTTATATTATTTCGCACGCGTAATTATCGTGATATAATCGTGATGTGCAGTGAATTCTCAAATCCCGAAGGTAATTACTACCTCTTATTTATATCGGCTCAAGAGAAGCATTGTGCTGACTGCGACTGACACATTGACGACTGTCGGTGTAATTAACCAGAAAATTAATTTTTTGTTTCAGAAAATTGGTGAAAATTGCGGATCTACACGGTGGACATGCGGATGCTGTACCAGAGGATCTGGTTCGGGCCGAGCAGAATCGGCTCGAAGGTGGGTTTAAAGAGTTATTGCATCCCTCTTGCGTTTGACCCTTTGCGATTGAAAATTGGGGCATAGTCCAAGTAAAAGTCGTTGCGTTTTGCAATAAATCTCGCAAAAGGTTAACGCATATTTTTCTCATTAATCCCACTAATCCCTCATATCTAATCGCTCTGTTTCTTGTTTCAGATCTGTAGCCAATCTGTTTCAGAACGTGGCAAATCCTGAGTTTGGGTGAGTGAAAAACAAAGATTCACGGTGGTGGGTTTAACGGTGATTGGTCCGTTTAAAGAATCAATGCGATTTATTTAATTTGCAGATTTTTGCACACTCACTGAGAGAAAGAGATTAATCTTGTTACAAATTATCGTCATTTTCGGCAACAATCATATTTTTTCGTTGTTCTAATCAAACAGTAGTAGTAAAACACTTGCAAAGATGGATTTTTCGACTACAATTATTTAGTTATGGAATTATAATCATAAATATAACAAATACTTTTCTCTCAGTGTAGCATTTGGTGCGTATATGCGTTTGTTCTGTCAACAAATACTGAAATAATTTAGGAGATATTTTTAATAACCCTTTGGATACTTCAAATATCGAATACTTGAATACCGATTCTAAGTTGTTTTGCCAAACATTTAACTTATTAAACTTCAGTAAGCTTATGTATATAAATCTTTTGACACGCGTGTGACATTTTTCTATTTTTAAGACGCAAAATTGCCGGATCAGTCATTTGATACGATCTCCTAATTATTCCAAGCGATGTGAAAAGCACACCCGAATTTGCGCATCAAAACTGCGCCATCACATGCGAAATTCGCGACTGATCACTTTGATCAACGCGATAAATTTGGTGGTCGTCGCGATCGACAATTTTTGCAAATTTTTTCGCACGTGACGAGTCATAATATTATTTCGGTCGAAAAATAAAAGTTAAAGTTTTCGAAGCTGGAATTACAAGTTAGAATTCTCGCGAAACAAAAATCTCGTTTTTTGACCAAATATAAACGCCCGCGGAACGAGATATTTCGCTTTTTGTCTCGCGACCTTGGTTTTCTGCTTGCGATTTTTTACACATGATTCGTGACTCGCGAATATATTCTCTAAACGTTAATAATTTATCGTGTACTCTTCGTTCTATCATTAAACGCGATAAAAGTATTGTCGCGATCGCGAAGTGAAGCATCGAAGTGAAGTGAATGAAGTGCGACCGACACGGGACGACGAATGAAAGTTGCAGAGGACGTTGGTGGACGCTGAGGACCTGGACCTGGGCGATTGGACCTCGCGGGACATCGACGCGCAATGGCAAGTGTACAAATCAAACGCTCAAAAGCGTTATGTTGCTCAGTGCATGCAATGTGTAGACATAAATCGTATTGATTGCCGATGACAAAAGTCACCGCGCGACATCATTCGAAAAGAATTTTGGGGTAAACATAGGTTTCTATATTAGGATATAATAAACACCCCAAAAATATAATCTTATTTTTAACAGAATTCTAAAAAATATTATGTTATTCTTAGAAAAATCCTTTTAAACATGGCCTTTCTCTCAAGAGGATTCTCTTTTAAAATTAAAAGGGGACTTCTAAAACCAAATATTCCGAGCACAATATTTTAAAGTTAGAGGAATTTCGATTTTTGTCGAAATGAGAGAAAAAACAGAGAAAAAAATTGTTGATTTAAGTAAAAAATTATTTTTGGATTCAACCATGTTTTTTGGTTGTTTTAACATGGAATTGACAGCAATATGCATATAAAATGTATATAGTTATTATCGCTAACATTACAGTGAAATTTGATGAAAATATGATTTTTTTGAACGCAATTTATAATAATTATTTTTCTATGTGATTATAGTCACAAATATATCGAACATTTTTTTTTCAGTGTAGAAATTCCTAGTAAGAGGTCATTTTGCTTCAATAAACATATTTTTCTTAATTCGAAAGGAAAAAGGTTAGAATAATATCTGGTAGATTTCCTATTAATAGTTCACTTCAATACAGAGAATATTATAGATCTTTTTTCACATAAATAAATAAAAAATAAATAAATTTTTTTCAATTTTATTATGTTTTTAGAAATTAAATTTCGCTGGAAACAGTAGATTTCGCTAAAAAGATTTTACGTTAAATTGACTTTTAAATCAACAACTATCGTTTCTCTCAGTTTTTAGAAATTAAATTTCGCTGGAAACAGTAGGTTTCGTTGAAAGCAAGTGTTTTAATAGCACATTTCAGTTTCTACAATATGTAAATAGCATGTATGAAATGATAGGATGACGTTGAATTATTACAGAATGTCGATCTATTCCTCGGTTACGAAACCCTATAGTAATCTTTACCATAAAAGTCTCTCTCTAAAAGAAAAGGAATATTCTCTTGACAAGAGTTTTCATTTAGAACACGGGATTAGAAGAAATAACATCTTGCAACTAGAATTCTTTTTCTTTGAGCGTTACGATATTTTAGTGTAGGTTTCAGAAGAATCTTTTTGAGGTCATATGTACAAGAGGATTACTCTAAGAATAATATTATATTTTTTAGAGTGAATATAGATTTCTGTTGGGATATAATAAATATATAAGTCTCTATTAGGATATAATAAATACAGATTATTATACCTGATGAATAAAAGCAGGTTTCTATTTCTGAATAAAGAAAAGGACGATGCGTCCTTGCGGACAATGAAAGCGTTTTTCTCGGGAGAAACATTATCAACAGCGTGTTGGCCGGCGGGACAGTTGTGCGAACGCGAAATTAATTGGGTCCCATCGGGGAATTAACGACTGCAGATAGCGTTTCTGTCATTGCGTTTTTATGGCGGGTAGGATCGCGCGCGGCAGTACCATTCGTATCGTTTAGATCTTCTTCATTAAGCACGATCGGGCGGGTTGCGCGCGAGCGAAGCGATTGGGGATGTATACCGAGGTCCCTGAGGGGTACGTTAAGGGTACACAAGGGGGAGTCGGTGGCGGCGCTACGACAAAAGCGACTGGCACGAGAATACTTATCTCATTTCGGTTTTCCTCATTAAACACAATGACAGTGTTTAACGACAAGTGGCACGATCAGGGTACACGCAATAAACAAAATCCGTGAGCGCCTCTGCGCCGAGTCGCGCTTCTGCAATTTATCTCAATGGAGATTTCTAACGATAACGATAGAACGTGCAATCGCTGTATCATTCTAACACTCCTACGTGATTTCTGGTACGATAACATATAAGAGAAAAAGAGAGGGAGGAAAGAAAGTGTGTATGTATATAAAGTAACGCGGACTGTAAAATAGAATTTAAAACAGGATCCATAATGAGGCCAATTAAAGTTATAATTACATCAAATATGAGACATTTAGCTCCGCTTGTACAGTATAATTATATGTATCACACCGACGCAAGAGCCTTTTCATCCTTGATTATAAATGCAGCAGCTGCGAGAAGCGATATACGGGATCGGCGCGATCTACTCGGCGCTCCCGAGGCGTACGTAAGATAATTATAAATTTCGTCGAAATCTAGCGGAAGAGCCTAGATCTCGGGTCGTGAACGCGAAGGGTGACTTCCGTGGCTGCCGCGACAACGTCGGGAGCTTCGGGGAGAGAGAAAGAGGGACAGAGAGAGAAAGATAGAGAGCGAGAGAGAGAAAGAGATATGGTACGTAAGCTAGAAAGAGGGACGAAGAGAGACAGAAGTCATTGTGATGCAGAAGAGCCAATTTTCTGGGCGGCTTGGCGCGATGCGGTGCGATACGGCGCGATGCTGCGCGATTATCATAACAACCGACGATATTATTCCGTCGGCGGATCCGACGGGAGCGGGGGTGGAGGAGAGGAAGAGAGAGAGAAGAGATCCCGGGTGGCGGTGGCGGCAGTCGAAACGGATTGGCTCAGGTCTGATGCACTTTTAATGGGAAGCGCCGACCATCCCGGTAAGATGGATGAGCCGACAATCGTGTAATCTCGATTTCAACGGCCACGATCGATCCATCGTGCGCGCGCGTCGCGTTCTTTCCCGCGCGTCCTTCTATGCGCCCTCGTTCTCCTGCGTTCCTTGAGGAGAGAGACGGCCCTCTTCCTTCGCGGCCACGAAGGCCGGACGAACGGCCGCTGATTTCGCAAGCACCCGGTGTCCCGTACCGGGATAAAGGGACGACGATGACGGGGTTCAAGGACTGGTTAACGCAGATTAGCGGAGCAATTTGTCACGCTCCGACAGGCCGCCGCCCGGTCGCTTCCCCTGCCCGCCGTCGCCGCCGCCGTAGCGTCCGCTTCTGCCTCGCTTCACCCCTTCTTCGGGATGCTTCTTCCGTCCCTTATCAGCCCGCAGGACCACTTCTCTGTCTCTCCCTCTCTCTCTCTGTCTTTCTCTCTCGTCCGCCCGTCTGCCAGACTCCATTAAATTCGAAAGTCAACTGTGAAATTGGGATCCTCTCTTTCCGGCGAACGGTCGCCGAACTCTGCGCGATTCGCCACCGATAAAATCCTCCCCGTCCCGTCGTGGAGGGCGCGGGAGATACGTTTGGGAGAGAAGGGGGGCGCGAAAGAGCGAGCTCGTGGTATCGTTGCGCGATCTTGGGGTCAACTTGATTGTTTATACGTTTGTTGCACCAACGCACGAAGATATATCAGGACAATCGCTGACGAAATAAGCTTGACATTGGCAACAGCTGACAGTGTATGCGAGCGTGCGTGTCTCTGAATGTGTGTCTGTGTGTGTACATGCACGCGTTTCCGCCACCGTGAGGCGCTGCCGAGCTCTCCGCCAACTAATTGTACACGGTCGATGTTAATTATTCCGCAGCCGTCAGAATTTAATGATACGCGTATATAGTCTTTCGGGTAAACCTTCTAATAGCGTGTAACTCCTCCATACAGCTACTTAACCGCTAGCGTTACCCTCGGCTGGCTCCTTCGAGCAAATTAACGTTTATCGCGGCGTCTTGTTGAGCGCGGGGGCGCGCGTTTATCGCTTCGCGATCGCGCTTTAATTGGGCTCGCGGCGTTAATGAGACGCCGAAAGAGTTCCGTGCCGTTCGCGAGACGCGACGTACCCTCCGCGTCGTCGTCACTTTTGCCGGAATCCCCGTGTATCGTCGTACACGCAAATAGCCCGACAGCTCCCGAAATTGCACGATCGCCGCAGAAGAAGTCCGCCTTCTAATGTCTAAAGTTAGAACGAGGAAGAAGCGAGAGAAGACTAACTGAGCGTCACGGGAGGGCTGAAGGCGCTCGGCCGCGAACACCGGACGCGAAAAAATATACTACTCGTTTACGAGAGTTTTCGCTTCAGCGGAATCTCGATTCTGCTCCTTGCCAGCGAACAGCTGATCGGATCATTCTGTTCGCGCGACGGCCCGTCGTTGGCGTGGTAAACATTTACTTCGCGATTGATTGACAATTGAGGTAAAGGTATCGACGCCTGGACACGTGTCTAACTCTGAAGCTTCTCAATGTTTTGGTCTGTAAATATGAATGTTGAAACTTTCAACATATTGGGAGTTACCCAAGGTTAGATTCTAAAATATTTCTGTTTGTTGTATTAAGGGGATTAATGTGTGGGTTGGAAGGGATAAATGCTGCGATCAGCCAGCCTTTCTAACCACACACTTTATTCCTTACACATTTTTCTGTAATATGAAAAGTAACAGAGACATTTTAAATTCTAACGTTACGTGACTCATATCTTGTATATTCTTTATATATATGTTTTGTACTATATATTCTTGTATACATTCTTATTATTTTAGTCTTTAAACACAAATTAAATTGTCATAAAATATATGTATAGAGAATAAACTATTTACAATTTTAAAATATTTCTGCTGTTTTTTTATATTAGAGGATAATGCATAAGGAATAAATTGTACGGTTGGAAGAAATAAATATTGTGATCTATCAAAATCTTTTCAACCACACAATTTATTCCTTACACATTTTTTTCTAATATAAAAAACGATAAAAATATCTTAGAGAATCTAAAAATTCATTCTATATATTAAATATGTGTATTTTGCTATATTCTTATGTATTTTTATTTTTGTTTTTAAATATGAATATTTAAATTTTCAACATAGAATACATGCATATAGAATGGGTCATCTATCGTTAGATTTTTAAATATTTTTTTAATTTTTTATATTAGAGAAAAATATGTAAGGAATAAATTGCGTGATTAGAAAGGACAAATATTGTCAACCAACCCGCTTAATCAAACCATTTATTCTTTACTCATTTTTCTGTAATATAATAAAAACAATAAAGAAATATGTTATAAAATTTAATGTTAAGTGACTCACTTTGTACATTTGATATATTTATATATATCCCGTGTTAAATACTTTTATTTAACTATTTTGTTTATATTCTTATTATGTTTTGCTCATCCCAAATAAGACTATTTAAGCTTTCAAAACATAAAATGTATATATCGCGAATATACATATACTCTATGTTAAAAGTTTAAACACGCACATTCGTACTTAAAGACCAAAACAATAAAAATATCCACGATTAGACACTTATACACTGGTACCTTTACTTTGCACTGTGACTGCAATCGCCATTTAGATGTGTGCACGCCATTAGAAATTAGAAGTTATTTGACAATTAGAATGACTGATCGCGGATGAGTCGGCGCGCGCAAAATTACACAATAGTTATTGTTATTCCGCAAATTGATACTCGCGTTATTATTTAGCTGCAAATAATACGCGTGTCCGACGTCCCTCGGTCGATTTTTTTCCGGACGTAGCGAAAGGGACAGAGTTTAGCCTTTGTGAAAGGACGACGTGTAGTGAGCGGTGCCCGCCTCGAAGCAATTAAATCCTGCCTGAAACGCGCCGCTGAAGCCGTCACGCGCGCGCGCGCGTCCGGTTATTCTTAGTTCATTTGCTCGAATAGTCGGTGCGTTTCGGTGCTTCTCTCTTCCTCTCTATCTATTTCTCTCCCTGTCTCTCGTGCGCGCAGAGATCGGAAGTCTCTCGTGTCGCGAAAGGTCCAGTTGTTTTTATTCACCTTCCTGCACGCTGCCGGCGCGCCGGTGTCGACGATGCTGCACGCGGCTGTGGACGACGCGACCGCCGGTGAACTTGTTCGGGTCGAGGATGTTCTCGACGGAGAACGCCAGGCACCGCTTGCTGTTGGTCTGCTGGACCGCGCTGGCGGTCGTGGTGATGGCACCGGTCGACGTGCCGGTGGTGCGCGCCGTGCTACCGGAAGTACACACCGTCATGACGGCGGAGCCCGTAGCGCCGTGTCCGGATATATACACTGGTGTCCCGTGACCGGCCGCCGGATGGCCGGCACCACTTTGCACACAGCTGAAAGAATGCACCCCGCGGTTGGTGAACGGATGAACGAACTGCTCGGTGGCGGTGGTACCCCGCGACGACGGCGCCGTGAGGTCCACCGGGCTGCTGGGGTTGCTCTCGTCGGCTTCCTCGCGACACACGTCGACCTCGACGTCCTCGTCCTCGTGGTAGCCGCCGTTGCGGTGTCTCTCGGAGGGTTGCTGGCCTTCCTCGTCCTCCTCCTCCTCTTGCTCCTCGTCGTCCTCTTCATCCTCGACCACGTTTCTCCTGGTGGACGTGGCGTTGCGCTCATCCTCGACCTCGTCTTCCTCTTCCTCGTCTTGCTCTTCCTCCTCGTCGGATCTCTTCTCCTTAGCTAGCTGCGAGTCTATCTCATGGTACTGGTCCTTCTCGACGGTCGCGCTGATGGACCGTAGTATCGTCGGCGAGCTCGACGGCGATTGCTGCTGTTGCCGCACGCTGTCATACCTCGGGAAAGACTCGCCGGTCCGTACGTGCAACAACACGTGCCTCCTCTCCTGCGGCGGCAGCGACAGGCCGCCACGCATGTCGGCCTCTTCTCGCGGCAGGACGACCGGTCCTAGCGACGACACGGTCTTGCCCTCCTGCATCCTCCACATTACCCGCTTAGTGAGGAGGCGATCTTTCTTTACCTGAACTCACGTGTCGTCATCTTCACCACCGCCTCCGTCAGGGCCTCCACGACCCGTGACCGTTCTACGCGATCGTTCGTACACTCTCTTCTCGGACCCAGCGGGGTCACTCCTCAGCGAAGCCGACCCGGCCGGCCGTGTCAACGCGAACCCATCGTACCCATCGTCGCACTTGCCCCCCTCAGATGTCACTGATCCCGACACGCTCGAGGACACTAGTTAGTTCGACACGGGCCGACGGGGAGAGCCCTGCAACCCCAGTGCGCGCACTCGTGATTCGCCCACGACCCCTAAATCGGATCGGTACTCGCGGATACTCGCGACGACGACGACGACGACGGCGGTGGCGGCGGACAAATCGTGGGTTAAGGATATCCCTCGTGGCATGGGCGCGCGATTAGCAGTGTCTTGGGTAGGTCGACGTGGTGCGCGTACCGTAGCGGCCACACTCGGGACTCCCACGTAGAGCCATGGTGGCGGAGAATCGGTGGTATATCGGCGTATTATTAGCGCCACGGAGAGGAGCCGTTGCGCGGAGGCACCGTGGGTCCGAGTGGAACGGCGAAAGCGGGGGTGTTTGTTCCGCCTCGACTGGGTGTGGTTAACCCCGCTCGTGCTACCCAAAAAGCTCCCTTCGGCCACCAATGGGCGTGCCGGTTGGCAGCTTTCCGCGGGGGTTGCGCGCACACACGTGCTTTAACACGCTCGTAAGCGACCGCATCGGGAGAGTGAGAGGGAGAGAGAGAGAGAGAGAGAGAGAGAGAGAGAGAGAGAGAGAGAGAGAGAG